CAGTTCCCTAGCCTGTCTTGAAACAATGGCTATAAGGAGAAGAGGCTGAAGAGCCATACTGAGAATGATATTAGTGGAGTAAAGAAGCTGAAGGGATTGTGGTGCCTGCTGCTGGGCACACTCGGTAAGTGGTCATGTGGTTGAGTCAAGATGCCTCTCAAAAACCTGCCACTGAAACTACATCTACGCACACAACACACCTATTTCCCCTCCCCCCCAAGCTCTGAAGAGCCCTGATAAACATACGTTGAGTTTCTAGCCGCATCCGAAGTGAATCAATCACACAATGACTTTATTGCATGCCAAACAGCACATTCAACCCACATTCTTCAAATGCCAATATGATTATGCAAATTGGATACACATATGCCAGATGGCACCTCAACCCCAGAGTCGCTCTCTTTATGCCAAATCAATATTTATGAAAAGTGCTTTTGTCCCGAGATGCTGCTTTGAAACCTATTGAAAACGTTTTTGTTAAAAATTATCGCCACTGTATTGCTCCACTTTCTTTTATATATGACTTCCCACGATACAGCGTACAACCTCCCCATTAAGGGCACCTGAGATGTCCTTCCAATGAATGATTACCCTAGACTCATACGAAGGGAATTTACCTGTCTTCAAAGCAGCAGGGGGCTTGTGCCCTCATTAGTACACACACCCCATATGGACGTGACATGCCAGGCAGCCTGTTTGTCTTTAGTGCACTGTTAGTACATTCTTTGAATGAACCAAGTGCTCAGCAGCTGTGGCCCACAGTTCTTAGGTGTTGTCCTGAGGCAGAAAGGTTGCCGGAGAAATGGACACGTGATCTGCAGTTTCAGTGGAAACTATTTCAAAGAGAATTACCGCCGTGTGAGCTTGGCCCTTGAAGACACATTCATGATTCTCAACATCCCGCTTAACCATCGGTATAGTTCTCCAACAACTATTTAAAGCTATGATGGCTGGGAAGAAAACTGGGGTAAATTGGGCAGATATCTGACAGTGTGCTAACTAGATTATTTTTTACACTTGTTCCCAATACGTCAGATAAATGTTCCCGCCTGCGCAAGCTGTGCTCTGACCACCAGCCAAGTGGCAGTTCAAAGGCACTGGGATGCCAGCCAAGATTGCTCCAAGTGCGGTCGAGTGGGAGCCTCTGTCACTGCGATGGACCAGCTGATAGAAGGCGAGAAAAAGAGCTTGCTTATGCAAAGCAACACACTTCTGTTTATGTTAACCGGTGTGGGGCAAACTAGGCACTCAGAGGGACTTGCATGTCTAGCACCTGTGGGGGAAAGCTACAGTGATGCTACTTGATTTGAAAGATCAAGAGTTCAGGATTCCTAGGGGAATGCATATTTAATATTTCATTTACAGGGCCCAGAACAGTTAAGGAAATCACTGCCTATAGCAAGGGCAAGAGAAAGTGTCTTAGTATTAGTTGCATCATTAGTGATCCCCAGGCACTTATTTATTTGGAGATTTACATCTTCCCAATCTGCCCTGCAGAGCCTCTTGCAACATTTTCTCAGCATCTGCTCAAAAAGCTGAAGAGGCGAGCCTGAAACCTTACTATGGCTTGCCTCTACAACCGTGGGAGCTGCTGCAGCAAAAAAGCTTCAGAGAAAGTTCTCTGGCAGCAGCAAACATAGTTCTTGCCTGAATATGCACACAAGCTTCTTTGGATCTTAGCAGGATGTAATTGGAGGTAAACCTACAGAGGGATGCAGGGGAAAAACACATAAAGCTGCTCTTCAACAAGGCCAATAATATTGAGGCTATCCAGATGAGTTTAAATTGTTCAGTAATGGTTTAATGCCAAAGTCTGCACTACATTCCAAAAGCCGAACGCAATGCTTTTTAAAGACTGCAGCCAGCTTTTAGAGTAACTCACACGGCTGCCTATTAAATTAAGGGATTCACTCCCTAACAGTGAGAAACAGGGCAATGTGAACAAAAAGTATGTGCACCGTCATGTTTTTTAAATAACTTTTGAATCTCAAACAGAGACTCCAGGTCCTAAATGGTTCTCAAGACCTCTGATCCTTTTAAAAGCCTCATCTTGCAGCAAAGGATACATCTATTGTTCCGACCACTGAGACAAAAGACAAACTTAGTCTTGCATTTCTGTACATTTTCACATTTCCCAGCCTGTATTCTGAACTCCGGAATAATAAGCAAATGGTGCGGCA